TGGTCTTGAAATCCATCAAATGGATGTTAAAACAGCTTTCTTAAATAGAGAATTGGAGGAAGAGATTTACATGGAACAACCTGAGGGTTTTGTGGTGTGACGACCCAAAGGGTCATCACCTGTTTTTTTACCCATTCTGTACTTTCGAGGCCTTGAAAACCTCACTTAGAGTTGCCTCGATTTTCGTGCGCAGTCCGGGCGCGTAGCCGGAAAGCTTAAATATGAAAATCTGTGAAAAATGCTAAGTTTTGATATTAAAATGAATAAATTTGACTTCGGTCAACATTTTGGGTAAACGGACCCGGACCCGGACCCGGACCCGTGATTTGACGATCCCGGAGGGTCCGTAGGAAAAATGGGACTTGGGCGTATGCCCGAAATCGAATTCCGAGGTCCCAAGCCCGAGAAATGAATTTTTGTGTGAAATTGTTTTCTGAAATTAATTAAGGAAATTGGAAATGAAATTTGATTAGAAGACTATGGTATCGGGCCCGTATTTTGGTTCCGGCACCCGGTACAGGTCTTATATATGGTTTAAGCACTTTCTGTAAAGTTCGGTTGAAACCGGACGTCGTTTGACATGTTTTGGACTTAAAATGGAAAATTTGATGTTTTATGAAATTTGGAAGAAATCATGGATTTTGAGGCCTAATTCGATGTATATGATGTTTTTTTGGCGATTTGATCGCACAGATAAGTCCGTAGTATGTTTTTGAGGTTGTGTGTATGTTTGGTTTGGAGTCCCGAGGGCTCGGGTGAGTTTTGGATAGGCCACGGGGTGAAATTTTGGACTTAAGGAATTGCAGGCCTGCAGGCTTCGCATTTCCCAAATTTTTCTCGCAATTCCCTGGATTGTTCGCATTTCCCAAGCTTTGTTCGCAATTACCAGGCTTCGCATATCCCAAACTTTCTTCGCAATTCCCATATCCGCAACCTGCAATTATTATACTTAGTCGAATTTTGAACCATTTTCACCATTCTTTCAAAACCCAAACACACTTAGGCGATTTTCCAAGAACAAAACTTCTTCCAAATCATTTGTAAGTCGATTTTTACTCAATTCTTTCAATCATTAACATTATTTAACATGTTTTCAACTTAAAATCAATGATTTTCATGGGTGAAATTGGGGGTTTTGGGTAGAACCTAGGTTTTTTTTAAAATTGGGGATTTGGACCTCAATTTGAGGTCCGATTTCAAAACAAATTATATATTTGGGTTCATGGGAGAATGGGTAATCGGGTTTTGGTTCGAACCTCAGGTTTTGACCACGTGGGCCCGGGGGCAATTTTGGAATTTTTGGGAAAAACTTTGGGAAATTCATTTTTATGCATTCAAATTGATTCGTTTAGTGTTTATTAAAGTAATTAAGTGACTTGTGACTAGATTCGAGCGGATTGGAGGTGGAATCACGGGGTAAAGCTATAGTTGAGGCTTGAGTTGAGTTCAAAGCATCGAGGTAAGTGTTCGGTCTAACCTTAGCTTGAGGGATTAGGAGTTGCGTCCTATTTGCTATTTGTTTCTTGTTGAGTACGATGTATAGGCATGGTGACGAGTATCTATACGTCGGTGTCGAGCATGACCGTGAGTCTTATATTGTGATTTCCATGATTTCATTGTGTTATTCATGCCTTGGTGCAAATTTCTATTTGTTGTGTAAAGTTGTGAAAAGAATTGTGACCTATGAACGTTGAGGAGCGTTGACTCCAGTTGTATAACGAATTGTGAAAGTATAAGTGATAACTGAACCTCTAGAGCAGTGGCTCGAGTGATGAAGTGGATTGTGAAGTAAAAGTGAGAAAGAGGAGAGATCATTATGTTGCCCCCTTGCCGGGCTATTGTTGAGTTGTGGTTCCCTTGTATTGTGTTCTTAATTGATATTATGGATACTTAGATTGATGATTCTTTGTGTTAGGTAAGGATTATGGTTATAGCTGAGGTAGCTGAGGTAGATAAGTGTTGTAACAAGTTTGGTTATAGCTGTTTCTTTTTCCCTTGCCGGGATAGTGTAGACCTTTTGATCCCTTGTCGGGACTCCTGTTATAATTGTAAATATTATATATGGATCGGGTTGCACGCCGCAACAATATTATATATGGATCGGGTTGCACGCCGCAACAACACTATATATATGGATCGGGTTGCACGCTGCAACAACATTATATATGGATCGGGTTGCACGCCACAACAATATTATATATGGATCGGGTTGCACGCCGCAACAGTATAATGAAATAGGAGCGGGTCGTACGCCTACCACCAGATATAATAAAATGGGAGCGGGTGGTACGCCTACCACGAGATATAATAAAATGGGAGCGGGTGGTACGCCTACCACGAGATATAATAAAATGGGAGCGGGTGGTACGCCTACCACGAGATGTAATGAAATGGGAGCGGGTTGCACGCCTGCAACGAGATATGTACTGACAGTGAAACCTGCTTTTATTTCCCTTATCCGTGTTAGAGTTAAATTATTGATGTTCTTTATTATTCTCTTGATATTCTGTTTTTACCTGTTATCCCCCGAAGTATGTTCCCCCTCCCATCCTTACTTGCTTATACCTGCTTTATTTTCCGTTGTATTTTATATAACTGCACAGGTTTATTTGATAGTCTGGTCCTAGTCTCGTCACTACCTCGCCGAGGTTAGGCTAGGCACTTACCGGTACATGGGGTCGGTTGTGCTGATACTACACTCTGTGCTCTTTTGCACAGATCCAGGTCCCGGACAGCCGTAGTAGCTCGGGAACCAGCCTTCAGTTCACTGAGACACCGAGGTAGCCTTGCAGGTGTCCGCAGGCTCGGCGTCTCTTCTATTTTTATTTATGATCTGTTATCTCTTTTATTCGAGACAGACAATGTTACTTTCCTTCAAACGGTTGTATGTAGTAAATCTTAGTAGTGCGTGAATGTTGTGACACCAATTCTGGGTAGAGGCACATGTGGATTTTTCCTTATTATTTGGTTTATATCGTTTAAGTCTTCCACTAAATTACAAATTTCACGGTTGTTTAATTATTTATTTCCTGTTAATTGAATTGGTAGAAATGAATTTTAAACAAAAGCATTTATGGATTCTAGATGTGTGGCTTGCCTAGCTTCTACGAGTAGGCGCCATCACGATCCCCGATGGTGAAAAATCCGGGTCGTGACATGTGGTTTCGGGTAAAAAAAAAAAAGAAAGTGTGCAAACTAGTTAAGTTGCTTTATGGACTTAAACAAGAACCCAAACAATGGCATACCAAATTTGATCAAACAATGTTGGCAAGTGAGTTTAAAATCAACGAGTGTGACAAATGTGTTTACATTAAATACACTCCAGGTCATGAAGTCATTGTTTGTTTATATGTTGATGACATGTTGATAATGAGCAAAAATATTGCAAATATAAATGCTACTAAACGCATGTTGGCTAGCAAATTCGACATGAAAGACTTAGGAGCTGCTGACGTGATCTTAGGAATCAGAATTCATAAGACTCCACAAGGTCTAGCATTATCACAGTCTCACTACATTGAAAAAGTACTTGACTAGTTCAAGTATTGGGATTTCAAGATTTCCAAGACTCTAATTGACGTGAGTTATGCACTTCAAAAGAATGAAGGTGAAAGTGACTCACAACTGGACTATGCAAGAGTATTGGAAAGTTTGATGTATAACATGAATTGTACGCGACCAGATATAGAATGTGCTTACAAGTAATCCCAATCAAATACATTGGATGGCAATGAAACGAGTTTTGGGGTATCTGAAACATACCCAAAATTATGCTTTGCATTATAACAAATATGCCTCCGTGATTGAGGGATATAGTGATGCAAATTGGATCACCGGATCATCTGAAGTTAAATGTACGAGTGGATATGTTATTACGATTGGGGGTGGACCCAAAAAGTCTATAAAATTGCTTTAAATCCCAGAATCTTTCCTTACGAATTTTCTAATCTTCTTCTTCTTACGCACAAAAATTCCAGTGTGTTTTACAGCCTTCGAGTGGTTCGCTATTCATCGGCGTTTTTGGTACCTACACTCCAGTGGGTTAAATCGTTCTATCCTGGGAGGATATATTCCGGCACCTCGGGTACTTGAGGGGAATAATTTCCTTAAGGACACAATGTGTATTCAGTGGGCTCGATTTATTCCAAAATTATTTTCTAATATTATTTTGACATATTATTTTTACGAACTTTCTGTTTCAGTATCTATTCAAGGAAGTTTACTGTTTTTTACAATAGTACAGATTAATAACAGTTGCAAGTCAATTTCCACCATGGAACCTTTACAAAGGCACCACATGGCAGCTGGTACATTTTTTTATAGAGAAGTTTTGCACTGGCCTCGGTTCATCAATATCAATACCATCTGTGATGTAAAATTCATTGTATATAAGTCATTAATATGGCACATGTAACTAAGTGTTTAAAAGTAGTCATACTTTCTAGTTTCTACCTATATGTACACTTGTATGTGTTATGCAATTCGAAGATTTCTCTTTTCTAAATATTTTTCTAGTTCTTTTAACTATGTTATCACCTCGCAAAACTTTCAAATGGCTGATAAGTGTACTTAAAAAGTTGTTGTACAATATCCCTGTCACAACTCTCCTAAAAAAGAGTGAAGTTTTGCCCGCGTTTCGAGGCTAGCTCCTACTTTGGTTCCTCCACCGACCCAATAACACACTAACCACACTCCTTCTATTTCTCCGATCAAAAAACCCCAAATCTGTTAATACTCCTTCATTCTTTGCAGCAACCCATCTCCGGGAGCCAGTTTGCGCACTTGTACGCGAACTTGTTAGCACAATATTAACAAAGTGGTTGTTATTTATGATAATTTGATGGGTTGGGTGATTCAAGATTTTCTTGAAATGCCAAATACGGAGTGTTACTCTTCTAGCTGGAACTGAATCTTCAGTTACAAGTTTTACCAACAATGAATCGAGATGATCAACTTGTTGCATCTGAGAAACTATGCATTAGAATTATGAATAAAAGACATTCCAATAAAATCTAGTATGTTTTCATTGTCATGGCATTCTCTATATATAGTGTATTGATGTGTTTTCTTACATTATTATACCTCTTGTGCTAACTAGACTGTGGCATGCATTTCACTACATTTCCAATATGAATAAACACTCATTGAGTTATGTGAGCGATGAAAGAATCCATCTCAGCACAGTTTACGCCCCCATCTGTTACTGATTTCTTGATAGCATTACTCAAATCAACTGCTCTTTTCCTCATCTCATCTCCCTCTGGTGAAGCCATCAAAGTTTTCACAGCATTTTCAACCATTTCTGATGTAACAAATTCATCTCGACGTGTCCATGGCCTAACAGTTAGTCCAATTTTCAAATACTTTGTTACAAGTTGAGAATTCCTTGGCTGATCTGAATGCATTGGCCAGGCTGCTATAGGAACTCCAAAGGAAATACTTTCCATACACGAATTCCATCCACAATGACTCATAAAACCGCCTGTTGAATTATGTGCTAATATTTCCAATTGTGGTGCCCAATCTCTTACTATAATCCCTCTTTCTTTTATTTTATCTTCATATCCTTCAGGAAGTTGAAGTTTTCTAACTTCACTTGTAAAAACATCTCCTTTATCAGCATCTCTGAGTACCCAAATGAACTTTTGCTCGCTTTTCTCTAGACCACTCGCGAGTTCTTTGACTTCTTCATCACACAACGAAGTAGTTGTCCCAAATGACACAAAAATAACTGAGTTTGGTTCTTGTTTGTCAAGCCAATCGAGGGATTCGTGATGTTTGTTTGAGTCTTTGCTCTTCTCTTTTGGCTCTAAAGGATTGAATGGACCTATAGCCCATTGCTTCAATCCACCATACTCTTTGGCCATTAAATCAAGGTACAAACTTTCTATTACTCGTGACGAATTGTAAAGTTCACCACAATGAATCTTCCCATCAAACTGTTCTAGTATCTTCAAATATTCCCAAAACTCTGTAGGAAAACAGTCTAAAAGTGATGGAATATCCTCATAATGTTCGGTTCCAGGTAGGACAGGTTTTCCTTTGAGTTCCTAGAAAAATGAATATGAAAAGAAAGCTGAAGTACTATGAAAGAATAGCACTCTGTATTTGGAATTTCAGGCAAATCTTGAACCACCCAATTCATCAAATTATCATAAATAACAACCACTTTCTTAAGATTCTTGCTCAAAAGTTCGCGTGCTAGAGAGCAAACTGGCTCGCGGAGATGGAACGTGGCGTAGAAAGAAGGCAATTGCTGGTTTGGGAATTTGGTAGAAGCGTTAGGATTTGGAAGGGGAGTTTCAAAAGAAGGTGTTTGAAATTCATGGAAATGAATGTTTGTTGTGGTGAGAGTATCAAAACCATGAGCCCGAATTTTCGCTTGTTGAATGTGAGCAATGGTTCCAACATAATGGACAGGAATATTGTATGAGGAAACGAGTCGAGAGAGATGGAGGAGTTGATTGAGATGACCTTGTGCCGGAAATGGTACCAAGACCACTGCCACTTGGGCCGCGTTTTGCAGTGACGAAGCCATGAATTTCACTTTAGTGTGATTTTCCAATAAAGGGTGTTTAACTGACGACCCCTCGCCTGAGGTAGACCCGCCCTTGGCGTGTTGTGCACCATTTTGGCCATGGGTGTTTGAGGTAAGTTTTTCAGCCATAGTAAGGTATTAGTTCTCTAGTGATACAATATCAGAAGTAATCCAATAAAGTGTAGTATTGAGGAGCAAAAAAGATCATTTTATAAGCAATGGTTTTGAAGATTGCAATAAATGTTGGCCAACCATTTGCTAAAAGATTTGTCAATGGAACACAAAATATGTTGCTACAAGATGAAGAATTTTATTTTGACATTATCTCTTGATTTTGTTCAAGACGACAAATGGAGTAAATTTCATACAACGTGGACCTAATGGAGCTCCATATATCTTCATCACATAGCATAATAACAAGAAAACAATATGACAAAATTAAGCCAAATAGCGTTTGCATCATGAATGGTGTAATTTTACGTTATATGTACAGTGTAATTTTCTGACGAAGGGGGGTTCGCGTGAACTCCCTTCTGCCCATGTTTTCACCTATATTTAATGAAATGGGTGCAAACGTTAAATACTTGGGTTCAAATTTCACCAACACAAAAAAGTAATATCTTTTCTTTATCTAAGCCTTGATAAACAGAGTTAGCGATACTTGTGATGTTATTAGAAGGTAAAATAATAATAATAATAATAAACTATTGTATATATTTTCTTCTAGAAAACCGATGAAGTTGATACTATGCTACAATAGTAGAGGCCAATTCAGTCACACAACTGACTTGGTCACAAGAAAAAGCATGTTTTTTTTACCTAACAATTAGAACTACTGTAGTTGGGGGCGGAAGGGGTCCGACTCTATTTTACAAAAAATTATACTATATATAAAAAGTAATAGTTTTTTAATATATATTAGATGTTCGAATCTCTTGATTACTTTGCTTATTCACTTTCTTATTTTTTTGAATCCTTTACTATAATGTCGTGATTCAATTGATAATTTGACAAAAGTGTGGGGCTTACAACGGGATGATAAAATTCCTGAGAAAATAACATTGTATAGTCTCTCTCAAATAATAGCCGAAAAATATATACTTTTTGTATATATATATATATATATATATTAGTCTTAATGTACGCGCTGTTTAACCAAAAAATAGATTTTTAGTCAAAGCTAGAAATTAGAAGAATCGGGTTACTGATAATCGAAAAAGTAAATAAAGAAAGAAATTTTAGAATAGCCAAGTATGAAAGTTGGTAAATTAGAGTATATTTCAATAGTCACTTGTCCCTCCAGTGATTACATATTCTTCCTTTTATAGGTCCCTTTGGGAATCTTTGGGGATGCACGTTATGCCTAAGTCATAATGAGGCTATTATGAGTGATTAATGACATTAAATGCTACGTTACATAATCATTACATTGAATGTATATATTCCTTAACGGCTCCAGCATTTAATACCCTTTAAATGCCGTATTTGCATCTTTTTCTTTAGCCAGGTTCATTCTTCTCAATGCTCGTATGTAAATAAGCTTAAACAGGAACGGGGCGCTGAGCCTCTCGTCTCGTGCCTCTTTCTAC